TTTACTTGGTAGTCGTGTATCTGAGATGGAGGGCCATATAAATTAAAACAAGCAAACTTTCTGTGTCCGGGAACTCGCTTTTCTTTCTTTTTTCTTTTCCTGCTAACTAATGCGGCGACACGGCAGGGATGCAGCAAGATGGCTGAAGGAGAGGAGGGTGCAGCCGTGGGCCTGTCTGCCCTCTCCCTTTTGTAAAAGCCCCTCGGGCCACTTATCTGAACCGTCTTCTATTTTGGGCAAAACGTCGCACAGCTGCGGGCTCCTGAGTGGCTCCTGAACTCGGCTTGCGAGTCGCCCCTCTCGCTTCACAAGCTGGCGAGCTTTCGGTGGCCCCGTTGCCCAGGCACAGCCCCCGAACCTCCAGGCTGATTCCTTCAAGTCCAGAAATCAAGGTGATGCATTTGGTCCTGGAGCGGAACGACGGAATCTGCCTTTCTTTTTAACGAGCCAACTTGGATGGCTTTTTAGGGGCTTCCTTTTCTATCAGGGCTCACAAAAGCTTCAAGACTTTATACCCGTTTCTTAAAAAAAAGGTCCAGCCCAAGCCACAGCACTGAACTCGGGGAAAACCGAGGAGGGCCAGGTCTGATTTGGGCACGGAGGGAGCAAACCACACCCACTTGCTGCCAAGAAAATGACGGGGCTATCCCGGGAGTCTTTACTTTGTGGGGGGAGGAAAAGGAACAGGCGTGGTTTCCCAAAGTGGGAGTGAAAAGCCCCCTACGTTGGCCAGGCAAACAAACGAGCAGCAGGCCGAGGCATTTCCTGCAGAGCACAGTGGAAAAACATGTGCAGCATTGCTGGGAGACGGTTCAAGGCGGGCACTTTGCGGAACTCGCTTTGCCCGGGCACCTCTCACAGGTGTGCTGCTCTCTTTGCCAACATCCTCGACCGCGTTCATTGAAGGTCAGCCCTTGCCGTGGCCAGACCGAGCGGATTGCCCAGCTGCCCGCACCCCCAGCAAGGCTTAATCCTGCAGGCGGAAAGAAGCTGGATTTGGTCCCCTCTTTCAACAGGCCTCAGTGACCGGGGGACCGACCCTCCCTCCCTCCCTCCCTCCCCGAACGCAGAATGTTCTTGGTCCAAGGGGGCGCTTCCAGCTGGGCAGGGGGTGCGAGAGCCTCGCCTTTTCCAGCACTCTCTTTCCTTTCCCCAGAGCCCAGGGCTAAGGGGCTAATTCAGCTTTCAGAGCCACGCTCTGGGTCCTTTGGAGAGGATCCCGCCGCACGCCCGTTGGCGGAGGGAGGGGGGTCCCCAACAGCAGGCAGTGGCATCACCACTCTTGTGCTTTAAATCAGGGGTGTGCAACCTGAGTGTTCGGGCTCACACCAGCACCCAGAGCCCCTAGCACCCCCATCCGAGGGCTATTCTGCATGGGACAGAAGGAGGCGCATAAATTGTGGGGGCACTGCGGGGGCCAAGGCAGCGTAACCCCTCCCAGTATATTCTTTCAGCACTTAGGGAGGATTCTGGTGAACCTGCCAACCGATACTCTCTAACAAAGAGAGAAGAAAAACCCTTCCTCTTTTAGTCGCCTGGACTGAATTCTCAACTCACCCTAGGCGAGTAATTTAGTTTTTTGAACGGGTATTTGACACTGGGTTAAGTACACAGTCCTTGGGCAAACAAACAAATTGCCTGACATGGAGACTGAAACAGATAATACCATACATGCACACCCACGGCAGTTAACTGGGTGTGTCATACACAATTTCAAAACAAGGAGCCACGATGGCCGACAAGGTGCAAAGAACTGGCCCGTACAATGCAACCGTAACCCTCAAGTAATACCAGTGGCAGGTGGATGGGATGATTGCAAAACCCCAAAAAGGTCAGAGGCTCAGTTAGGTCACCAAGTGCAAAGGGCACCCTCCGCTTGGACTCGGCTGGCTTCTCGTGGGCGGCGAAGGCGGCTGTCAACCCGGCAGCCGACGGGAGGGAAGGGCTTCTCGTGGGCTGGGCGGAGGCTGGCATAACTCGGGGGGCGGCGGGCCTTTGGGGAGCTGGGCCACTGAGGGCCCCCCCGAGGCGGCCGCATCCACGCACACTGGTGCAGTTGCACATCTCAGTAAGGCTTCCCCCAAAGGGGGGCCCAATTCACCGAAACGTCGAACGCAATCAACACGAGGCCGCCAAGCATTTTACGCCATTTCCGATCCCGGCACGTGAAAAAGTCTGAGGAGCAGGTGGGGTTTCGATCCACCTTGGGGCAACGATCCACTTGGTTTAATAGATCACGGGAGTCCTCGGGGCTCTCTGAGCTCGGTGGCCTGCTTGCAGATGCTTCGCTGCCCGACTAGGGAACATCACCAGCGCGCACAGGGACGGTGCGGAAGCCGGCTTCACCCGGCCGGCCTTCGCCACAGGCGTCGTTCTGGACAGAACCGGCAAAGGCACGGCGGGGATCACGCCCAACGACTGAGCGCTGGACCGAAACCCACCTGGGGCTGCCTCTGGTTCCCTTTTTCCTCACACGCTGCTCGGGAACTTCTTCTGAATCTCTTCTGGGGCGGACATGGATTTCCTCTCTCGCCTCCTGCCGTGCCTCTGCAACCGGAAAGAGGTTTTCTCCCGGGGCTTCCCCGGGAAGGGCGGGGGCCCTCCACACAGCCCCCTCCTCGCAGTGAGACCCCGAGGGTTCTCCGTCCCAGAAGCAAGGGGTTTTCTCTTGGGGGGGCCAGCAGCAGCAGGGAAACCAAGGGGCCCTATTGCCAGTCCTAGAGAAAAGCGGAGCTACTCTGGAAGGGTGGGAGCGCCTGGGATCAGGACCCCCCAAATTTGGAGGCGGGCAGGAAGAGAAGGTGGCCGTCCCACTGAACCCAAGGCTGATACGCCTCAACCGCACGGTAAAATCCTAGAAAATGCAGCTTGCAGTGTTCCCACAGAGCATTTCCACGAAAGAGGGGCCAGCGCGGAGGGTGATTTATATCTCAGGGAGATGGATCAGAAAGTAACCACCTTTTTCCCAGCTGGGAGGGGCTCTGGAGGAGTCTGGATAAACGCTCACTCTAGGGGCCTTCCTGTTCCCCCCACGCACACCGTGTTTCTATTCAGCCCAGCAAGCCCCACAGGGCCTCGCCCCTTCCACCTCAAAACCTCCTGCAGCGGAGGAGCCGTCTGCAGGGTCCCTGCGTTCTCGGGACAAAGTCCAGCATTTCACAGTTAAACTGTAACTTTCCTGGAGGGTGCAAGGAAGAGATGTGGGTGGGGGGAAATATTTTTGCAATACTTCTTTTCTTTAATATAATAAGACACAGAGGGCTCGCAGGAGAGAGAGGAACTCTCCCTCAATTCAGAACAGCCGGTGGGGCGGGGGTGTGTGTGTTTCTCAAAGGAACGAAATAATGGTTTGCACGCAGGATGCTGGTCTCCAATGAGAACCAGGCCCGTTTTCTGACATGAAGCAAAAATCCCTCTTTGTTTTCCCATCCTCAGACGCAGCAGCTCTGCTGGTCTCCTTCGAACGATCTAGTCCTCATGGACCCATTTAAAGACGCCTCAGGAGTCGGTCAGTGTGCCCAGCACAGAGCCTAAATCTAGACTAGACTAGACTAGACTAGACTAGGTTAACCTGGGCTACCCTGTTTGTAAGGTGCACTGGATCAAAGAGGAAGTGAGAAGATGTAAGGATGGGGCCAGAAAGGGCTCAAACTGTTGCCCCACCCAGACAGCCGAAAAAGGTTGTACTGCCCCTTCCTCCCTGTTTTATTTATTTATGAATACTTCTATTTGCTGCCTTCGCCACGGGTATTCATACTCATGGTATCATGTGTTTCTACGGCCCTCTGGGCGAGCAGGGCTTACCTTCTAACATCTGCTTGCCTTCCAACACCTGCCCTATTTCTCTGGGAGAAACAGACGGAGACTGGACGCTCCCCAATTTCTCCAGCTCCTCTGAAAACTGACCCAGGGACTACCCACAACGACATCCTGTGGCCAAAAGTCCCCCAGGTCAGTCCCTGGCTGCGTGGAGATGGACGCCTGACTGTCTGTCCTGCGGCTCAACTCCCAATTCTTAGGCTCAGAGGTGGGAACCGCCCTCTCCGCTTTTCCAGCTCAGCAACGTGGGTCTTTGGGAGCTGCAGGGGGCCTGCTGGGTTCCAAGATCCCAGATCCCTGGAGACGGTGCATCTGAAGCGGCTCCTTATATGGACCCCGAAACACGTCCTGCTGCCTCTGGGACCCTCTCTGTCTGCGCGCCCGTAGCAAAGGCCGTGCAGGGGTGCGCACGACACCCGCCGCCTTCGAAACCTGATCCGCAACGAAGGAGGAACGCAGGGCTGGCGCACGGGGGACTCCAGTGCCATCACTTCTGGCCAGCTGAAGAGGAGCGCTGGGCCAAAGGAGGCACTGGCAGCCCGGGCCTTGGGGACGCTGTGCAGGTTTTGGAGGGCACGCCTGGCCTTCCTCCATCCAGCAAAGCCCGCCTCGAAGGGGTTTCTGCCTCCCTCGGGCACACCAAGCAGGGACCCCAGTGAGCCCCACGGGGGCCACTCGGCTCCCGGTGAGCCGACAGGCGAAGGTTCATTAGTGAGGGTCTCCTCTGCCTCTCTCAAACCAGTGCCCAATCTGACAAACCCATCGGATCGGGCGCTCACCACGGGAGCAGTGCCACAAATCACACCTTCCCCGAGGCTATTGTTTTGGAAACTCCCCGGGGCGCCTTCTCCTCCCCGCCAGCCTGCCAAGGGAGACCCCTGGCCCTGAGGCTCCCCGGAGAGCCTTCCCGGTCCTCCAAGGCCTGCGAAACGTCTCCACTAGCGACAAAGGTGAGCGTGCCAAGGGCCGGCTCCTGTGGGCACCTGCTGCCCATCGCCGCCGCCTGCCCCTTCCCAAGGACTCTGCCACCCACCCAGGCACCCTCTCCCCGCGCGGGCCCACCTCAGGCCACTGGGGAAGTCAGAACAGCAGCCGAGGAACCCGCCTTGGGCACCAGGGGGGACACTCCGAGGCCTGAAAGGCAGCCGGGAAACCTGTCGACGCCCCCCGCCCCCACCTACCAGGTCTGTTCTCCTCGCTCTCCGATTTCATGCTGGGGGGGCCGGGGGGGGCTGTGCGCTGAAGAGGCCGGTCCGTCCTTCCTTCCTGCTTCTTCTGCTCTCCCCTCTCTTCCGCCAGACTCCTCCCCAAGCAAGCCGGAAGCACCGTCTGCACTACCTGGAGCCCAAACATGACTCTGCCACAGGTTGCTGCTGTTGCCGCCGCTGCCTGTACCAGCAGGAAGATCTCCTGGGCAGCAGCAGGGTGTGTGTGTGTGTGTGTGCGTGTGTGTGCACGTGTGTGCAGGGCTGGGCACGGCTGCTCACCTGCTCCGATCAATCGGAAGCGGACGGAGAGCCGATTCTCCCTGCCTGCCTGCCTGCCTGCCTGCCTGCGTCTGTTCCCCGAGTGAGTGCCACACAGACGGTGGGGGACGCAGCAGCTCTCAGGAGACTTTTATTTATTATGTTTTGGGGGGGGGCTGCTGACTTGCACGGTCCCTTGGCTGTTTGCCATCCATGCTCTGACCCAGAATGGTGAACCAAAGGAGCACCAAATGCAAGGTGCTTTCTCTAACGCAAGAGACCAGCCATCTCGCACAGTGCAATGGGGGGGGGCAGATAAAGACCCAGCAGGAGTGCCCCCATTTGGCCCACCTCCAAATCCCTGGTTCTCCGAGACAGGTTGGCACACCTGGCCTGAATCCCTGCAGAGTTGGGGCCGGTCCAGGCCAACAGCACAGAGATGGACGATCCTGTTCTAGTCAGCCAACACCATGAGGACTAGAGCCCTCCTCTCTGCACAGGGACGGGACAGGCTCTGCTTTGCATGCAGAGAAAGTTCCAGGTTTGATCCCAGAATGGACGGGGACGTATCTGGCCTGCCGGCCCGTGCCAACTATCTGGGCGAGGTGGGTCCGCAGCACGACTGGAGGAAAGACGACACCCTGTCTTTTTCTGATAGAGTGCCATCAGTGCCAGAGAAACGGCCACGGCAGCTGCTCTGGGAAGACCACCCTCGCGAGAGGCACCACCAGACAGCAGGAAAAGCGCAAAGAAGAGGAGGGAGACCATTCTGGCAGCTTTGCCCAGAGACCCGCTCTTCTGGGCACTCCGGATCCTGTCCCCTCGCCCGACAAGCTATCTGAGCAACTTTCATGGCAGAGCTGATGCTCGAGCCTGCTTTTTCCTCCTCCCTCCCTGTTGCCTGTTCCTTGAGGGTGGTTACACTCTGCTTATCAACTGGGGAGAATCCTAATTATTTCAGTCATATTTATCAGGTTACGGGATAGCCCTGGGATGAAAGAGCGGGTAAAAATCTTTCTCACCCAAAGAGCCCATTTTTTAAAAAATCAGAAGTGATTTAAGCCCCCTCTCAAGGTTGCTGTCAGGAAAGTTACCATAATTCTGTTCCTAACAGTGTTTTTTTCACTTCTACCGCTGCAAAACCAAACCAAGCCAAAAGAAAGAAAGCGCAACCAGGTGGCCTGGGGTGGCACTGATGGTTCCCCGGATGCCAATCAAAGCAGCCAAGGGCTGGGAAAAGAGGCTAAAACGGTGCCACCAAGCCAGGATGGCAGAGCAAACCAGAGGGCAGGGGCCAAGTGGGCGGATCAACCCTGCCCCTTCGCACAGCCCACCCAAGGGCAAGCAGAGGAGAAGCTCCCGGCCTACAACGCGAGCGGCTCCTCCAGGATCCGAGGACAGACCAGCTTCCCCTCTGGCCCGCCTGAGAAAGAGGCTCCAGAAAGAGAGATGCGGCGGTTCAAATCTGGAAGTCATTCTCTTGCTGGAATTCTTGCATCCCTGCTAGCCCCAAAACTTGCTAAAAAGCATTCACGCTTGGAAAAGACACTTTCCGTTCCAGGGTTACCGAGCGAGGGCCACGGCAAACTCCCAGTTATGCTGATCTCCGGTGCCAGCCCTGAAGCCACCGGCCCCCTCTTGGCCTCCCGCCACGCACTCCCTCCTGGCATCTAACTCAGGCCTCTGGCACCGATCGGGGAGGAATGGAGGAGGCGAGAAGAAGAAATAAAGGGGGGGGGCAGTGAGAGAGGGAAGGGGCCCACCCACCATCCAAGAGAATGGATCGGTTGGAGACTTGGTTGGAAAGGGGTGCGCTGCCCCTGTTCAGGGGGCTCCCTGACACATACTTTTGTGGTGAAAACAGCCCCGTGCCCCGTGAACAGCTGGTGACCCCTGGTAAGCAGAGGAGACGGAGGAAAAACAGGAGAATACATATTCTGGACACCTCCACGTCCTCCACTGTCCCGTTCACACGGGGCCTCCAACAGCCCAAAAAGTCACTGGCTCGCTCCGGATTTAAGGCAGGGTGATCTCCGGGTGCCACCACAGGGACACAGCGCAGGGCGGAGCTGAAGTCTCCAGAGCGGGTGGGGGGGAGTTCCAAGAGGCAAAAAGTAGAGGCCTCATTCACCTTACGTGTTTTGCACCTGAAACCCCAAACGTGGCACCATCGTGGCGGCTGCGACTGAGTTGCTGAACTTAGCAGGGAGATCGGACGGGGCCGGCAGGACACCCAGGCCACAGGCGGCTGACCTTGCTATAGAACTCCTGCTCTGAGCTTTCCTGCCTGGCACACAGTCACCCGGGGAAAACCTGCCTCCTGAACTCCACTGGGCAGAGAAGACGCTGCAGAGCCTGCGTGCCAGGAACGTTTCAGCCCGTGGGCCCCGGCCCCCTCGCAGGCGAAGATCAGCTGCAGGAGAGGCGCAGCGAGGTGGCGTGGGAAAGCCCCCAAAGCGGGTTCTGCACCGGTTCAATCTTGCCGGCAAACTGAGAGGAGGCGCCCCTGGCTTTCGCTCTGCAAGCAAGCGAGATGCTCGTTTTTCAGGGAAAAGAAAGTTTTACCAGCTTTTGCCTGGTGGAAAGTGGGGGGGGGGCAGGGGGAATTCCACATAGTAAGACACGGGATAAGACAAAGTCGGAAGGAGCAAGCGGACGGAGACGGCCTCCAGGACCGAAACGGAAAGCCACAGAACCAGTTCTGGGCTCTGCGAAGAACCTGCGTGCGCCTTCCGACAGACTTCGAACCTGGAGGTAGAGAGGCAACCAGCCGTGCCTTTTGGGGTTGTGCCAAACAGACAACAGACTTTTTGTGTAGATGCAACTGAGGGTGTGAAGTCTCAAGTGCAAACTGGCCCCACTGCTCCCTTCTGCTTAAGAATATTCGACAGTTGGGGAGCAATCAGCGCATGACAAAACTTCATTTTTTAATCCTACTTTCCAAAATACAGGATTCCTTTTTGTTTTTTTTAATTAAAAAAACGCAATGCAACCTTGCACGCGATGGTGCAGAAGCAAAGCCCCGTTTTATTTCTGGGCCATCAGGGCGCCCAAATGGCGCGAGCTGACAGGGTCCAACGCGGGCATGCGCTCTAATGCCCAAATTGCTTCCTTCCTCGTGGAGCTGAGCCACCGTTTGCTCCCACAGAGCCAAGGACACCACACCCCATGCTCCACCGCTGGGCTTGGAAAGGAAGTCTGGCCGGCAAGACGGTGTCACTTTGGGGGACTGGAGCTGGCGTGGGGCGGCACAGGCGGAAACACCCACTCAGCCCCAGAAGCTCCCCGGGAGATTGGGGGTCTGTCCTGCTCCCACGCAGGGCGCTGGTGGAGGGAATAAAGTGAAGGGAGACGGGCAGATAAATATTAATAACAACAATGATGCAGGAATGGGACAGATTTCCCTATGCAGAAGTGACCAAGGTTGGGATGTGAGCAATTCCTAAAATCCTTCCGGGGAGGCGGGGAATTGAGGTTCCCCTCACCTGGAAGGCCACATTTGGGAAAGGCGAACGGCCCAGATGCTTTGGGGAAGGCTTACGACCCAGATCCCGATGTTCAAGGGGTGCCCGATGCTGGAAAGGCCTCGCCCGTGCTGGACTGCCGGTCTGAATGCCACAAAGTGCCCTCCCGGCCAGCTTCTTTGGCGAAGGACATCTGAGTGACCCCAACTGGTGTTTCTTCCACTCTGTGGGTGTCATGAAGCTCATGTACTGGTTCAATCTCATAGGACCAGCAGCAGCTTCAAGAGCGCTGTTTGCTCACCCCCTATATAGAAAAA